ACCTAGTTCAATGTCACCCTCTACTTCAATTTGCTTCTTGTCTCAACTAGGTTAATTGTACATCTTCTCTTTAAATGTCTACTTAATCCGCCGCCATCTCATACATTACTATGGAAAAAAATTATGAACCTAGCTAATCCCCCTTCTCCTACGGGAGCGGCTAGGGAGAAGCTTCATCCCCTTTAAGCTCCACCGACGAGCCCATGGACTCACCTCCCCTCTATCCATTGATCCGACGGCTGGTGGCAGGAGGGGAGTCCCAGTAAACTAGTATGGCTAGTAGTTTATGTCAAGTTTTATTAGTCCTCTCAAGTGCAACATTGTGGTGGTTATCTTCGAGTTGGTCTTCCAAGTACTGATTTTCTTCGAGTTATTCTGTCGGAATGGACTCGAAGGAGCTCCCGCGCACGTTCTTCATCATTTCTTGTTTTGATCCATGTGCAAACAAACTTGAAAATCCTCTCACAATGGTTGTAGTTGGGAATAACATTAAAAATTTGGCAAGGATGACATATGTATTGTATCAAACATGACGTGCATTTGAGAACAAAATTTGCCCTATTTATTCAGTTTTTTTCATGTAAGAGCATGCAGCTTGCTGATCCTCAGATGTTAAACGCTTATGAAACCTACATGCCAATACTAGTCAGAGACATACAACCTACAACTATGAAATTGCAACATTCAAGATAACATGACAAATAGATTGCTTTACAACCCAACACCCTATTATCAGGACACAATTCAACCTAGCAACACCTAGTTAGTCAACTCCATGATGCTGCTAACAACGTCGCCATCCTCAGCCTTGAGCCCTTGCATGCCTTGGATACACAGAGGCTTGCATCATCACAAGCTTGACGTAGTTCTTGTTAACGCTAATGTATCGACCTCCTTGTTGGCCCAGGCTACTACAGAAGGATCACCCTTTGAGACGAGGCTACTCGGACGATCGGGCCCAACACCTTGAACTACTTCGCAGCCTGTGTATGTAGATGATTGCTATGGTCCTCAATCTCCGCATCCTCGAACATGATGTTGATCTCTGAATATCGACTCTTGAAGACATACGGTTTGGAGATGGCAACCATAAACTTGCAATGGTGTGGCAAAGTTGAGAAGATGAAACCAAACATGTGTTTACCTTGGATGCGAGAACCATTGAATTGAAGCACCATGATGTTGAGATTTTATATTCGATGGTATATTTATTTCAAATTGGATTTAACTGATTTGGGGGTAAGATTTGCAACCTAGCAGGGAGCAAAAGGGCTACAAATAAGGAAGACAACAGTAGGCTATGCTGTTAACGCAAACATGCATGACCCGTCGATTTAAATCTTGAAGGCAACCTGCAATATGAGGGCCGGGAGGCGAAGATTCAAGCATTTTCAACTATCACAAATTGTAGATGGTGTATGAGGCTATAATATTGGGCATGTCTCTACCATTTTGTATAGGATCCGAATGCACCCTTCCCACCATCTCGACAAATCATTTTGAGTGTAAATGCTATGGTGAGCCTGGACAATGGAGCAGGGCACACATGTGTAGCCAAACCTCTTTGGATCAAGGAAAATTAAGGCTCGTGTGCGAAGCAGGCTCCAAGACTTGGTCATAATATTGACGGATGGATAGCTAATGGCTAATGCGCTCACCAACTTTCCTTAGTATAATCATGACCGGCCCTTATAAAAGACACACTCCTCAGCTAAACAAACACGATGGGGGTCGAGGCTCCCGAGATAGAGGCACTTCGGATAAATAGTGAGGGTGGATGGATGCAATCCATTATGAAATAAGAATGGGGGGGCATATTTGGAAACACATCATCTCCAAAAATCATGTGTGGCATAGCAAAACTGAAAAATCAAGTATTTGCTAAGAGGGAAGGCAGGGGCAACACAAATGTGCACACGAAGGAGCGAACGTGAGAAAATGGAAATCCTTCAGGAATAGTCTTGAGAAAGAGGGCGACATGTGAAGCATTACGGCTTGGACTCGAGGAGTTTTAGAGATTTGCGAAGGAGAAAGTGACGGCTGCTGCAATTGCCAGACGCCTTTCTAAGGAACAGCCCCCGATCGCCTAACGCCTAGTCCGGCTCCCCTCCTCAATCCTCACCCGAATTCCTCATCGGCTCCAGTGACTCCGATGGTCCTCCGAACATCGATGCATACTACCACCGTTACAAAGACGACAAGGGGAAGAAGTGTTAAAATTTATCCCTATCTATTATCAACTCGTTTCTAATTGATTGTAGTCATGAACTATCTATGTTCTGAACTTGCTTCCTATAGTGGTATAATGAACTTGCGTATTCATTCGTATCGATGCTATATGTTAACTTTATCTGCATTGTGTTGGTATACATTGTATGACATTGTATAGATTTGGGGGTTTGGATAAGAGAGGGATGGCTACAGAGATGGACAAATATTGGTCGAGCCGGCACTGTCCACAAACAATAGTTAGAGATGAAACATGAATAAAACCGCCAATTCTCCAAATGCAACATTAAATATGACACGACCAAAGACATGATGTAATATCATCCATCACAAACGAATGCTAACTACAAGTTTGCCCCCAGCTCGCACGTAACTCACGGCCACGACCCCTAACAATCATTAGACGGGTCATAATGGGAGTTCATAGCTAGAATCATGTATGTCAACTAGACTTGATTTGACTAAGGTGTCACATAATTAAATGAGGAAAGAAAGGATTGAGTATCATGGTAATGGTATGATATCGTGTCATACATGAAAATAAATGAGATCACTATGATACTATTCACTCCACTCTCCGTCTCCTCTCCCATCCCCTTCTGATCCAATGTCAAGCTCTGATAGCGCAATGCCCCACGGAGGATACGACAATGATGACCCCGTCGACTGGGAGTCAATGTTGTGTGAGGCGGCGGCGGACGACAACAAAAAGGCCGTTGATGACACCACGCTGCTTCGGTCGTGGCTGGATAGGGGTAGAAGTGAAAGCTCTGGTTCCACGTTGTCCGCCATCGCCCGACGATGCAGTTCAGATGATGGTTTTGACCCATCGTGTTAGCACAACTCCGGGCGCTCCGCGCCCCTTTCAGTCCGCCACCCCAATGTCCTCTCTAAGCCCTCGTGTGCCTGCTCTGGCTCGTGTCCCGGCCACATTTGGGTTCTTGTCCCTGCTGAACCCACTGGATGTGGATGTCCAAATCCAAAGTGTGTAGCGCACTCCGTAAGATGCAGCGAGATAGGGAGAGATCGGAGATGGCAGAAGCGATGTCTTGCCTCCTGTTGCGCATGAGCGCGCCGGTAGGTCGAATGACTAGCTCCTCACGCAGGTCCTCGGCCGCTCGCTCACCACGACAGAGACTGACATGCGACATCTCCATCGCAAGAATGCCAAGGCGCTCTGGCTCGCCATTGAGCAGTCGGAGCACGAGGCTATGTTGGATGCGACGGCAAAAGCCAACATGACCCTACTGACGAAGAAGCAAATGCACATTCTCCATCGGTTGGCCGGTGTCATCTCCTCCTCCGACGACTCTGACGTCTCCGACGACGACGCCACTCCCGCCGCCAACGCCAACACAGAGTACTACAGCCGCACCAGCGACCGCAAGGTGGAGGGACCGAGGGGGGAAGTGGTGATGTCCCGGTGCCCCTCTCCGTCTCCGTTTCTGTTTTTAGTTAATGTAGTTTTTATCTATGTTCGTATGCCGGTGACAAACTAGATCTCTTGGTTCCAAGAACTGTGTTTGTATGCCTGTATGGATTTTTTTGAGAAACTTCTAATATATTCATCTTCAATCATGGCAGTACAAAAGAACAACAAAGGTAATGAAAAATACAACCATGTCCGTGGACCACCTAGCGACGACTACAAGCATTGAAGCAAGTTGAAGGCGTGCCGCCGTCATCGCCCCTCTCTCACCGGAGTCGGGTAAATCTTATTGTAGTAGACAGTCGGGAAGTCGTCGCGCTAAGGCCCCATAGAACCAGCGCACCAACGTAACAACCATCACCGATGAAGGAACTCGTAGATCAGAAGGATCAAACCTATAAACACCCAAATGAAGACGAACGAAGACCGGATCCAAACAGAAATACCAGCACCGACCGAACCCACGAGATCCGATGGACATACACCTCCACACGTCCTCCGACGATGCTAGAGGCACCAATGAGATGGGGAATAGAACATAGGAGACATTATTCCTATTAAGGGACATCGTCGCCACCACACAACCCTAAAGAAGATGTTGAACCTAACAAGAACCTCCATGGCCTGGAGGCCATCAAAATTGGGCGGACCAGCGCCGACAGGAGGAGAAGATCACTATGTTCACCTATGTTCGTCTGATGATCAACGCAGTTTCGCATGTTACATGGACTAGAAGAATGCCCGTGCGTTGCAATAGGGCCACATTAACTTTAATAGTTCAATCTTAATATTCTCATACATATCAAGTGACATTGACGACTTTTTTAACATCAAATCCTCACACACACACTCCCTCCCTCCCTCTTCCTCACTCTCTCTCCCCCTCTCCCCCCCTCTCTCTAACACACACACACACATACACACACACACACCCACACACACACACATCAATCTTATTGGGTACAGGACCAAAATCCATCTATTTCACACACACACGCTAGTGCATAACAATATGGATTATGTGTATTATATTTGCCACTAGAACTGAGGGAGTTAATTTCATGTAAATTGGCCAACCACAGCTCCATATTGCAACGGGGTCACATTAACTTTAAGAGTTCAATATTAATATTCTCATACATATCAAGTGACATTGACAACTTTTTTACCATCAAATCCTCACACACACTCTTTCTCCCTCCCGCTTCCTCACTCTCTCTTCCCCTCTCCATCTCTCTCTCTAACACACACACACACATCCATCTTATTGGGTATGGGACCATAATCCATCTATTTCACACACACACACATCCATCTTATTGGGTATGGAACCATAATCCATCTATTTCACACACACACACACGCGCGCGCGCGCTAGTGCATAACAATATGGATTATGCGTATTATATTTGCCACCACAACTGAGGGAATTAATTTCATGTAAATCGGCCGGCCACAGCTCCAAGAATACATGGACGAGGTGGCCCAGGTCGGCGTCGGCTCCATCCGGCACGGGCCACGGGCCCGCTTTCAAGTGCGTCTGCGCGCCGGCCACCCACGCCGGGTCCTTCAAGTGCCGCTTCCACCGCACCAACTCCCAGGGCCACGGCCAGGGCCAGGGCCAGGGAAGCCGCCCTTCTTCGCCCCCTTCACCGACCGCGGCCAACGCGGTGCCGCGGCACCCGGCCTCGCCGTGCTCGTCCTCTGGCACCGTGGCGACCCAGTGATGCAGCCCAAGCATCGGCCTCGAGAATCGAGAATGCTCGACAACGGAGAGGGAAGGGAAGATCATATACATGTCATAAGAAAGGGACTTTATCTACTGCTCCCTCGATGTATTGTTTCTTTTGTTTGGAGATTGATTACCATCTGCGAGTTAAGATAACGTTAATGTGATTGAGCGAATTTTTTGAAAATCAATTATTTGTTTTCTAATTAATGTGATTGAGTGATTTAAAGCAAGGTTAATTAATTTATATTTGATCTTTAGAGATTGTTCATGATTGATTTTACATTACTAAATAACTCGCGCCAGTATGGAAAGTTCTGATCTATTCAGATTTCTTTCGTTGTGTGAGAGGGTGATGCGAAAATAAACCGATGAAGTGGGGGAAGAGAACGAAAAAAATCTACGAAAAAAACAGCGAAGATGGGAGGAGGTACTAAAAGAAACCATGGAAGGTGGGACGGAAAAAACCCTAAAAGCGAGACTACCAACTGCTTCATTAAGAGTAGAGATTGCTTGGTTTTGAGAGGCTGGATTTGAGGTATCTAATTATTTGACACGGTCATATGAGAGCTAACCGATCACTGTCTGCTGATGCGCCCATAAACGGTTAGGGCATGTACAATAGTTCTATCTTAAGAGTGCCACGTAGGATAAATGATGAGGTGGAGGAGAGAGAAACCATAAGAGAAGGCTTGTCTTATCTTATTTAAGAGAAGACAGGAGATGATCTCTTAGCACAATTTGTCTCACCATGTTTTTAGGAACAACTAATTATTGAAGATAAGGCTAAGAGATGACCCATTGTACACATGTTTTTTTGTCATCTCTAATTTACATGCAAAACTTAAGATAAGACTATCTTATCAACCATTGTACATGCCCTTAGGCGGCTAATTTTTCTATACCCGACTGTTGATGCCCTTAGAGTATCTCCAACAGGTGCCCAAAAAAAGCTCCGCGCACTAAAAATTCGTTTTTTGCGCGCCCAACAGCTCCAGCAGATGCTGTAGCGCTAAAAAGTTTTAGGCACGCGCTGAAAACGCTATCGCGCGCAGCATATTTTGGACTCCGGATTGGGCGCGCTTCATAATTTGCACCGTCTGCTTTTTGGGCGCGCGTGTTTGGGCGTCTGCTAAAGCAATTTTGGTCCCGACGCACTAAAAGTGCTATAATGACGCGCTATAACTTTTATTGGGCGCAAGATTTTTGTGCGGCCGTGGAAATGCTCTTAGCCCTGCATCTTTGCCCTCCGTGTCATATCTGACCCCTCTCAGCGAACTCAACCAAAATCTCTCAGACTTGCCAGTTTTGAGTGATGTGCTAGTGGGAACCGAGGTGAACACCAAAGTGCGAGTAGCACGTTGCAAGCTCGTTGCCGCATTAACTAATCCCAACCTTAATCAGTCACCATTCATAACAGCTAGATTAAGACAAGCAAGAGTCGAAGATGGCCACAAATGAAGTACAGTACAGGACGGCGCAACCGCCTGCAAGTAGGAGGACGCTCCTCTGCCGTGCGCTACGTGCCGTTGGGCCATTGACATGTGGGCCAGGTTTCCAAAAGGCCCACATGTCAGTGACAGAACGGCAGGCTGCCGTCCGTCAGAGGATCCTCATCCCTGCAAGTAGTAGTACGACTACACGCCAAACCACACACACGGTCGCCCGCACGCGTCCCGGTCTTCTAGAGAGGCGGAGCAGATCGTGCGGTGCGGTCAGGTCGCGCCAGTTGCATTTGCGTGGTCCGACCGACGGCGACGGCGGACGCGACCGTGGCGATGGATGGTGTCTCCCCTCGTCAATCCCCGACAGCGAGCTCCCAACCCGGTCCATTCCTGCTCTTCCGCGCCGCCGGTCGCCGTCGGGTCATCGGCGGAGTGAGTGAGGGCCCAGTACACTCTCGTGCACCGGGTCCACAAGCGAGCGACCAGCAGTACAGTGGCGACGGGTTCGTAATTTACGCGAGGGCACGTGGCCGAGCTGGACAGACCCAATCCGGAGAACCCGTCCGTCCGTGCCTGCGTGCACCCGTCCCATGTACCCGACCATTCCACTCGCTGACCCGTGGGCCTCAGGAGCCGCCCCGCGCACGATGAGGCCGCCGGTGCACTGGACCTGGCGCAGAGGCGCTCCGCTTCGGGCGGCCGCTCACCCGTCCAACGATGTGGAGGCAGATGATCGGCTGCGCCACCGCATGGGTGCGATCCAACATTCTTCGCTTGCGTTGCGTGGTTGATGGATAGGCACAACTATCCTTCTCCGAAAGCGGCGGCCCACGTTAGCGCAATTATTTTTGGGTTTCTTTGTGGCGACACGTAGTCGGCGGGCGGGTTGGTCATCAGCAGAAGCGCACACACGAGTCGACTAGCTCGGTTGGATTAAACAAACGTGTTTTTTTTCTTCTTCTGATAATCGGATTAAACAATGTGTTGATTGCGCTCTGTGGAGTGTGGACTCAAGGTTAAAATGTTCTAGACACGTCCTAAAAACTGTTTTAGATATTCTCTTTCTTTATTTTATAAGACCTTAAAGACATTTCAGACAATATGCAAAACAGCCTATTCTGAGCTGTCTGAAACGACTTACAAAAATGGATGGAGGGAGTACTAAAAGATCTTTTTTCAAGCTCCTGGCAAAAAATAACTCTTCATACGACAAGGTGAATGGCTCTACTTTTATATAATTTTTTTAATACGAACAAGTGTATGATACTACTTCAAAAAAGTACTCCTATATAATACTCAGTATAACTCTTTTTTTGGAGTTACTCTGTATGACTCGTGAAAAAAGAACTCGGTATTTACTTTGTATTACGGTACATGGGTGGACCCAAGTTGGGCCGAGTGGGGTCCTAGACCCAAGTCAATTTCTATCTTTTTTCTGTTGTGAAGCCAATATTTTACTCGTTGGGCCATTTAAAGCTTAATACATGCGGAACAATTAATCAGCAAGTACTCCTTCGGGAGCCTGCGAGAGTCATTTTCTGTAGGCTTGGAGGACACCATTTGGCACGTTAACAGCCGCCGTCACGTGTCGCGCTTTGCGCACTTCCTCCGTTTCTTATTTATTTTTCTATACACATTTTCGGCTTTTAAATGTTTTTCTGCTTTCTAGTTTCTCTTATGTTTTGGACAAAGAAATAAAAAAAATTGCGTGAAAAAACACATCTTTTTTTTCCTTTCGCGGGAGTCACAGATTTACTTCTTGCGGAGGCATGGATTTGCTTCCACGGAGTACCCTTTACATTTCCTCTAGATTTCCTCCAAATAAAAACCCTAGAGCCTCTTTTCGTTCATAGGACAGAAATAGTATGAGAATATGAAAACCATAAGAATTGAGATGACATGCATTCAATTCCTACAGGAAAAGAGATGTTATTTGGTTCATATGATGGGATCTTTTTTTATTGGGTCAAGGCTAATGTTTTTTGCTCCTTTGAAATACAAATCACTCGTTTCTATCCTCTAGGCTAATGTTCCTACAAGATTACTATCCTTTAGAATTCCTACAAAATTACTGTAAACCAAAGAAAGCCTAAGATTTGGTCTGAATCATGGCCATTGATCTTAGACTATTCATTTTGGATATGAAAATACAACCGGTTATTTGCTAATATGTACACCATAGCGAAAACTGAGAAATGTAAATGGAGATTCATTATCCTTTCAAACCATAATCATACATGCCGTTTACAAAACATAGTTCACCGTTGCACATAGTCCAAATTTTCACCCTCTACTTGATTTTGTTCACCGTCCCTTGGCCGCTTGATGTCTCTTTGGTCTCAGTTGAAGTCCATTGCACATCTTCTTTACATGCCTTCATCAATCGCCTTCTTCTCATAAAGTACTATAAAATGGTTTTACTAAGCGATCTATTCCTCCCCCTCCCGTGATAGTTGCTAGGGAGAAGCTTCGTACCCTCCAGGCTCCACTACTGAGCCTATGGACTGCCCTCTCTTTTATCCATTACTCTAATGCGGTTTGGCATGGCAAGGGGAGTCCTGGTACATCGGTCCGGTTAGCAGTTTAGGTTATGATTCTTTTACTCCTCATGGGGGCGACATTGTGGCGGTCATATCTTAGATCTGGTCTTCCGGGCTCCGGGCTCATCAAGTTAGTTCATGATAATGGAGTTGATCTAGCTCCCGCGTAGATTTTTGATCTTTTTTTTCATCATTTACTTGTTTTGAACCACGTGAAAAAGAACTTGAAAACCCTCTCACAATTGTTGTAGTTGGTAATAAAATTCAAATGCTAGCATGATTGACATATTTGTCTCAAACACGATGAATTGCATTTGGAAACAAATTTTGGCACAATCAATTTTTTCCATAAGAGCATGCATCCTTTTGATCCTCATATGTTAAACGCCTAGGAAACCTACTTGCGAATACTAGTTAGTCATAGACACACAACCTTCAATTCTACAACTACAACATTCAAGATAACATGATAAAAAGAACGTTTTGTGACCCAACACCCTATTATTAAGGCACAATTCCACCTTTCAACACCTAGTTATTGAAATCCATGATGGTGTTGACAATGTTGCCAACCTCAACCTTGAGCGCCTTCTAGGCTCTGGATCTCTCGACACAAAGGCCAGCATCATTATGAGCTTGATGTACTTCTTGTCAACACTAATGTTGTCGACCTCCTGGTTGCCCAAGCTACTTCCGCACAAGGCTCGTCCTTTTCAGATGAGAATGCTCGGCCCCGACGCCTTGAATGGCTTTGTTGCTTGTTTTTTCGACTGGGTGCTCAAGTCCTCCATCTTGGCATCCCCAAGCATGATGTGGTTCCTGAGTGTGGGCTCTTGATTTGAAGCACCATGATCTTGAGATTTTCTATTTTGTTAGATACTATATTGATTTGATATTGGAGTTAATTGATGTGGGGGTAAGATTTGCAACCTAGCAGGGACCAAAAAGGAAAAAAATACTACAAAGAAGAAAGATAACAATACACTGTTTTGTCAATGCAAACATTCGAGCATTTTTCTCCTTCCAC